CCTTTTAAAAAAAAAACCTGCTTCTTGAAGAGAACAAGAAATAATTTTATTTTCCAAGTAGAAATATGAGTCTTATATGCCATTTAAAGAAAAAACTCACAAAGCCAGGTTGCTGACTTCAATAGAGGGCAATTTTTCATCAGCCAGGTCTGTCAAATCCATTTTAGTTCACAAATTGGACAGCCGTATCTGTGTGTTCGCTATCAGCCATAAGAAAATGGTATTCTTTTGATTGTAGTATTGGGTTTTATTTTTGGATGTTCTGTTTTTATCAAGGGTGAGGGAAAATATCTAGACAGTATTCAATATTTTTGAAAGCACATGATATTTATAAGGGATAAGAGCAGAATAAAACTTAAGGATTTGATAGACATTACTTCATGAGCCTTAGACCTATCTTTGAGATAAAACGGAAGAGCAAAGGACAAATATTTATTGAGGGCCTGCTATATGAAAGGAACTGGACTGGGTACTTTATATAGGTCATGTTCTTCAGTCCTCTCAAGCCCTATGAATTGGGTATTCTTATCTCCATTTGAAAGATAAGAAAACTTGAGCTAGCTGAGATAAGTAATTGGCCAAAAGTGACACAGAGGAGAAATTAAAAGGAACCAAGATTCGAATCCAGTTCTGTCGCTGCAAAACTCATGCTCTGAGTAGCTTACAGTAAGAAAAGAAATCTGTCAACAACTTAAATAGCAACATAGGAATTGATTAAATAAACTGAAGTGTATCTATACAAAGCAGTCATGGCAAATGATGCTATAGATCTATTTTTATTGACATAAAAAGATGTCAACATGTCAAATGTAAAAAGATTATAAAAACAGAACATATATGATCCCTTTTGAGATGTATATATATATATATATAATTTTATATGTATATTTACATTTAAAGTTATCACTGGGTGGTAGGATATGAAGTATGTTTCTTCTTGTTATTCATTTATAGTTGGTGTACAAATCTGGATGGTAGATGGATGGTTAGATAAAATGAGAGATATGTAGACACATAAATAGATATAGAATATATAAAGAAATACAGATAGAATTTAAAGACCTAGTGTTTAAAAAATAAGATTGTCAGCACATCTGATATTTGAAAAGCTCTATTTATACACTTTAAGAATAATCAGCTGCAACATACCAGCACTCCCAGAGTTAAGGAAAGTATACTTATAAATCTATTTGCATATCAGTATCTATATATTTATAGATAGGTTTTCTCACCATCTATCTATATATATAAATGTACAAATATAGGTAGACAATGAGACAATATCTATACATTAATAGAGAGAATGAAAGAATATGATAAAGCAAATGTAGTGAAATGGTAACCATCAGGGAATCTGGGTACAGGGTAAATTGGAGTTTCCTGTGCTATTCTTTCAATTTTTCTGTAAGTGTGAATTAGCTCAAAATTAAAAAGTTTAAAGAACTAATACATATTTGATATTTCAAACACATACATCTGGTATAAGATGGTACTCATTTTTTAAAAAGAGACCCTGCTCCACTACTTGGTCTCCTTATTGGCACTTGAAGCAAGAGCCCTCATAAGATCAATTTTTGTTTGTTTGTTTTTTTTAGCTGAGCCATCCTGCCACTTGTTGGCAGCTCAGCTGAGGTCAGGAATCGAACTGCTGTTGCTCAGAGCTCAAACTCTTGACCGAGTTCTTAACCAACTGAGCCACTCGGCCAGCCCCGAGATCAATTTTTGAATTCACCCTTTACAGTGCTTCTCACAGAATAACTTGGAATTTATTTGGTGTCTCTTTCCCAGAACATAGAAATATCTGGGAAGTTTCCCGTTTTGCTTCACAAGGCCAGCACAATCTTAACAACAGAATTTGACAAACCTAGCACATAAAAACCCATGGACCAACATGAATCATAAATATAGACACAAAAGTATAAAACAAATACTAGCGTACTCAAGTCCAGGAATGTCTTAAAAGAAAATAATGAACCACTCATAGGTAGGGTTTATTTCAAAATTATAAGTTTAGTTCAGCATGAGAAAAATCTAAGAAGTCAAAAGAGATACTCCATCTGAGTCTCCTCATAAATAGTGAAGAGAGATTTTTCTTGGGCAACTCCTTTTTGCAAACTAGGAATAACAGAACACAATAAAGAAGACTACCTATTCCAAACAAAAAAATATATATATATATTTGGGCGGGGAATACTGGAGACACTACCACCCAAGCTAGGAATAAGAAAAAACACCCATTATCATTGCTATTATTCAACACTGTTCTCTGGAGGCTCTAGCCAATACAGTAAAAGGAAATAACTGTTTCTTAATTTTATGATTATTTATTTTAAAAATCCCAAAGAAGCTACCAAAAAGCTATTAGTTAATAAGGCAGTTCTAATCAGATCCAATATAGATATATCAAAGCTTTATACCAGGCATCAAGAATTGGCAAACTTTTTCCATAAGGGTCAGAAAGTAAATATTTTCAGCTTTGTGGGGCATATGATTTCTGTAGTCACTATTCAACTCTGTCCTGCAAAAGCAGCAATTGATAATGCATAAATAAACAGACATGTATGCCATCCAATAAAACTTTACAAAAACAGGCAGTAGGCTGATTCTGGCCAACAGGCCACAGTTTGCTGACCCCTACTTTATACCACAAAAAAATGGTTGATGGAGAAAAGTTACCATTTAAAACAGCAAGAAAATATATAGAGGCCTAGAAATAACTTTCTAAAGGGTGATTCAACTTATACACATCAAAAATTAAACTGTGAATACTCTTTCAACACAACAATTCCATTTCTGGGAATTTATCCTAAAGACACATTTAGGTAAGAACATAAAGATGTGTACACATGGACATTTATTAGTGTTATTTTTAATCAGAAAAATATCTCCTGACATAATCCATGTCTATGAGAAATACATCATTTTTAAAGCAGGTGATAGCAGTATGCATATCAGATAATATTTTAAGTATATGGGTGTGTATGAAGTTATACATATGTATGTACTCACACATGGGTAAAACCTGGAAAGATATATACCCAACTGTTTTATTAGCAGTCATTTCTAGGGGTGGATTCATGGGCAACTTTATTCTTGGTGGTTTTTTTTTAATTTATTAAACTTATTGGGGTGACAATAGTTAGTAAAATTATATAGGCTTCAAGTGTACAATTCTATAATACATCATCTATATATCACATTGTGTGTTCACCACCCAGAGTCAGTTATTTTTCCATCAACCGCCCTGAACACGACCAATCTCATCTTCTTACTTTTTACATGTTCTTTTTGCTCTTATTTTCCCAACTGAGCTTAAGAGAATCAAGCAAACAAAAAAAACCCAGTGCTGCTCTGAGCAATTTACTCTTATTTCTGTGACTTTTCAAGAAGCCCATATATAGCATCCTCCTCAAACAAAGCATATCGATACTGATTTTAATTTTTATATTTAATTTTTACATTTAATTTTTATATCCCCAGAGACTTCTTTAAATTATTGTTAACTGCTTCATGCCCTAAAGATAGAAATCTTTTGGTTATAACTAATGCAAAAGGAGTATCTGTCTGGAAATCTTGTTTTTTTCTTATCCTTCAGTGATGCCTCTGCATACAACTGTGTGTGTGCACATACATGTGTGCTCACATCTTTATGAATAGCAGGGGGGAAGTCAGGGAAGGGAAACAGGAAATAAGCAAGAATGGTAGGTGAAGGGCCAGTATGAGTTAATATCCTACAGGGAAATAAGTATTAGTAAATTCATTCCTTGAGGTCTTATTTATGGTTCTATAGCATGAGAATCTCACCTGTTGGGTTAGGGGAAAACTCTGACATCCTTGTAAATTCTCATTTATAATTTATAAAGTCTAAGTTTGGGCCTCTTAATAGAAAAAATAAGTCCATATGATTTCTATCTAGTTGTGAAAGTTAAACACATTTTTCCTTACAATCGACAATAGGTATCTGTTTTGCCAATAGTTTCAGTTGTTATAACATATGCACACATGGACATTTATTAGTGTTATTTATAATCAAACAAATATCTACTGACCTAATCCCGTCTATGAGAAATACATCATTTTTTAAAGCAGGAGACAATGGTACGCATATCAGCTAATTTAGCTAATACAATTATTTGATACATATTTAATTTTCATGTACTTAAAATTTGGGGAAAAAGAGACAAAAAAGAAAAATGATGATTCTTATAATGTCTCAGAAATTCTTTATAGGTGTTACTGAATACAAATTACATGGCTAACTCACAGTTACCAAAGAGGAAAAAATAACATTATTTTTGCCCTCTCAAAACAACGACCTTATCTGGCCTTGAAATCTCCCAATTTCCTTCCTGAAGTAGCTTTCTCCAGTAGCTCAGCATAAAAATTAGATCCATTGCAAACAGAAGAGCTCCTAGTAAAAGACATTTTTAATTTTGAAGGGTGTGTGCACGCGCACGTATATGAGTATGTGTATGTGAGCTTGTCGTTGCTAGAAAGGCCATGGGAGAAAAGATAATCTCCCCAGAGCCAATTTAGAAGTTAACAGGAACAATATGACAAACACGAGGTCATCCAGAGTTCTCAAAAGTGATGTCAAAAAACAATGAGGTGTTAAGTGTATTTTGTAAGCCATGAAAATCCAGGACACAATGAGCAAGTGATAAAGTTTGCTCTGAACACAACAGACAAATAAATACATTGATATAACATGGTTTTCATTAACTGCTCCTTTGCTCCCAATCTCAATCAGATGCTATGTATCCTTCAGCAGCAGGACTTACTACTAACAGACGTGAACATGACGACCTACACTAGGCTTGTGTTGCGATCTGGGAGACTGGAATTCTACAACTTGCCTTTCAGTCTTCCATTTTTAAGAATCTTGAACTTGAAATCAGTATAGCTAAAAAGTAAGCAGGCATGCTTCAAATCCAAAACTGTTTTTCCTGTCAAATATTGCTCTCAGTAAAGTGCATCATCAAACCCCAGTAGAAACTTACCCTTCAACTTGAGGTCGACATTATGTCTCAGCCAAGGATAAACCCCATAGCTTGGCATATCTTCAGGAATTGGATTATTGTTTATCCAGCCATCACAAGCAAACCGGAAGAAATTATCACAAGGGTCCACAGACAGATTTACTTTACTCAATATGGCAGCAGCTATTTAAAAAGAAAATCATAGGATTAATGACAAGCACTGAACATTGTGTACTGGCCTCTTCCAAATTAAACAACGATTTCTTATCGACCAGTTTCCAAGCCTTGGCTTCTACATTTCCCCTCAAATGACTCCCTGAATCAACTGCACTATACTAAATTACTGCATTCCGAGTGAGTGGGTAAAAGTTTGGTAGTATTGTTACTGGGCTTTGCAGGGCCACCCTAAAATCTGCGGGGCATGGGACAGGCAAACAACTGGAGTATATGGTAAATTGTTTGCAAAGGTGCATGTGACATTCTTTTCATCCCTTTCATCCTTCTGCAAGGTAACTTTGCTACTCTTCCCATCAAGCAGTAGGATTTATTTCCCCTGCCTTGAATCTGGGCTGGCCTTGTGACTTGTGTTGACCAACAGAATGTGACAGAGTAACTTTTCATGAGTCTAAAAGCTAGGCCTTAAAAGGCCTCACACCTTCCTTGTTAACTCCCTTTGAATGGAGCCCTGGGACTACCCTTTAAAGAAGCCTCCTGGAGGACGTTTGGCCACACTGAGAAAAACCAATTGCCAGACATGTGAATGAGGCCATCATGAACCTTTCCAGACCAGGCGACCCTCCAGGTGAATGCAGCTGTATTAATGAGCCTAGGCGGTATCAGCAGAGGAACCCTTCCCAAACCCACGGAATCATGAGAAATATTACATCACACTTGTTTCAGGTCTCTAGTTTGGGGTGGTTTGTCCCAAGCAAAGGCAAACTAAAACAGAGGCCCACATGTCATAAATATTTAAAAGATACACGGTATTTACAATATACCCTTCAGAAAGACCTGGAAGACCATGTATGGAGTCTTCAGCCCCTTGACATTCAGCTCTCAGAGGAATGAAGCCCTGGAAGAGAACCACGCAGTCCCTGAAAGGAGGCTTGGGGCCATCTAGCAGGGAATTCTGAGTTGTAGAAGGCTGCTGACTTGGCCCCACAGACTCCGTGACTAGGGAAGAGGCACAGCCAGAGGAGGGCAAAGTGGGTTTTTCTAAATGAGGGGCCCAAGGCAGGGGCCTCTCTAGCCCAGGTCTAGGGGCAGAACTGAGTATTTCTATCACAGAAAGATACAACAGACTGATGTACCATTTTTTTTCTTTCATAAGCCCACATACAATTACATATGAAAGACAGTCAATAGGTAGGAAGTGTGTGCATACTTAAATATGTATCCATGAGCTTTAAATTTTTTTTTCATTAACAATGAGAAGGTTCCAAAATTCCTAACATTGAACTCCAACTCTCTTCCAACTGCCACACAGCTGCTGGCTACCACTCTAGCACAGAGATATGTATCAACTGACCATTTTTTTTAAAGGCAGCCAAAGTTTTAATCACATTGGAAAGATGACATCCTGGGTAATTTTCATACTTTAATGCCAGAATATATTTCTGTTCAAAGTAATGAAAACCCAATGAGTTTTCAGCTAAATGTGAATAAATTGCCCCCCCAAAGTATAATCTGCATAAATTTAGATACACATATTACAGTTTGGTTACTTGCGTGGTTCCTCCAGGTGTAAAAGTAAAGCTAGACATTTCTCTAGCCTAGACTTTCCATGAAAATTTCAAAAAGTATTTTATCCTCAATAAAGTAAATAATATACACACATCCTAATTTCTTTAGGACTTCAAAATCCCTACAATTTTCAACCTGCCAAAAAAAATCAAAGCAAAAAATTGGTTTAGAAATTTGATAAATTTAAATTGGCTTAATATTTCTAACTTTCAGAATTCAGTTGTCTCCAATTACATTTTTACTTACTGCTATTTCATCATTATTATTTAATATGCAAGTATGCTAAGACACACAAAATCCTTCATTTCAGTTTCTATTTATAGTTATACTAGCTGTGCAGCCAACAGAATGAATCTGCTTTGTGACACTTTAGGGACATTGGTCATACAAGTTTCAGTCCCACACAATATTTATAGTCACACAGAGGAACCCTCACACACATTTTTATTCATGTAAGCACATTGTTCTCTGGCCACCTTCCCAAACCTCCCCCTGTCCCCAACCCTCAAATGTATCCCTCTACATCTCCTCAGTATTCTTGCAGGTACCTAGAAAAACTGCAAGATCAGCTCTAACCTTAGCCCTGATATAAAGTAGGGGAATACATCACTCACACTGAATTTGGAACTGAGCCTGCTGAGTGGGAAAGCTCCAACTTCGGCCTCGCAATTCATCATTCACAATTCACAGCTGGGCACAGGGCTGCCCTTTCTGTAGAACTGTGACTTCAAATTGCAAGGGACCCTAGTTGTCAAGACACCAAAACTCCTTTCCCCCTTACTCAGCTCCATGGAAAAAACCCAGAGTCTACCACTACGATCATTTTTTTCTAATCTCACAACTAGCCTAAGTAAAAATTATTATTCCCACTTTACAGATGGTGAAACTGAGGCTTAGGATGATTATGTACTTAGCCCAAGATCATGTGGCTTGGAAGTGGTCAGATGATACTTCAAACCCAAGTCAGCCTGTCTACACTTATCCACTATCATTAGCATACCCTTTCCTTGTTTCTTTGTATTCTTTCTCCACTTCTTATTTTGAAAGAGGGGTTATGCTAGGAGGAAATAGAAAAGAGGAAAAAAGATTTCCGGAGAGGACACAACTCAAAAGGGTCCAGAGGCAATCCAACATTTCTGTCTCCTGAATATCTAGCACATACATGCGGCGCCCACGCACTCACAAGATTCCTACGCACAAACAAGGTGTCCAGGCTCACGATGCACTTGAACAAGGCGGGCGCACACTCACACGAAATGCACGGATGCAGAGGGCGCGTGCGCACACACACACACACGCACGCACGCACGTGGTACCCACGCATGCACCTCTTGAGCACGCACGCACACAGCACCCACGTACCTACGCAGTGCCCACGCACGCGACGCCCATGTACGAGACTCGCACACACATGGTACGCATGGACGCACACAGCACTCACACACGCACACGTCACGCATATGATGCGCATGCACATGACACACACGGCATAGACGCAGCGCCCACTTACACAGCACCTGTGCACGCACGCGTCATCCATGTGCGCACACGGCTTGGAGGCACATGGCGCACACAGATGCACAGGGTGCACTCGGATGCACAGGGTACCCACTCATGCAGACCGCGCATGCACACACACGGCACGCACACAGCGCCTACGTACACAGCGCCCACCCATACACAAGACGTGTACACCCATGGCGCGCATGGACGCATACGGCACCCACGCACACATAGCACGCATGCACCTCCTGAGCATGTGTGGACCACCCACACATGCACGTATGCACATGCACACGGCACTCATGCACAAGACACGCACGCATGCACACATGCACTGCCCATGCATACACCACTCACATTCGCGTGTGGTATGCACGTAACGCTGCGTTGTTCGAGACCTTCCCTTTGCTACAATTCTGCAATGTGTACTATGCAGACCCCTGTGAAGCTTGTGTTTCACTAAAGATAACTGTAGCCTTTTTGAGACTTTCGCCACAGAAACAACCAAAATATTTTTTTCAATATTAGAAAGTCATTCTCCAATGTGAAGATTGAAAACAGGATAGCAAGGCAAAACACAAAGCAAATCATACTACCTGTCAGGGGGTGACATTATCAAATATCATTATGTAAGTTTTACTCTTGCATTATTGTGATTCATAATAGAAAGAAAACACTCCATAAAATCAATGGCTCTCTGCACAAAAAGTTGACTAAACTGAAATTGAAAATTTGAATTCAAAATTTGTATTTTCAGACATCTACAAGAACCCCACCACAGCAAAAGCATAAGGTGGCATAAAGTCTAAAACCTGGCCTCTGATAGTCCCACCCTACTCTAGGTCATCCTCTGTCCACTGGAGAAAACCCTAGGTCAGCTCCAGCTGGGAACAGGAACGGGCCTGGGAATTCCCAAATCTTTCTCATCCTTCTAGGGACAAGATCAAGAAGCAGAAATGGTTGCCTAGTCACTAGACTCTAGTAAGTCTAGCGTTATGAAAACAAAGCAAGACACGACCACAAAGAGAGGTGCCTGGCACGGCCTTGTGGCAACAAGGCACAGATGGAGAGGAGCCAGACATGAACTAGAAGCCCAGCCCTTACGCTAACTCAGGATGTGACCCTGGGCAAGCTATTTAGCTTCTAGACGCCTAAATCTCCTTATCTCTAATTGAGCCAGGTGACAGCACTGACTTCATGGGGTTCTTGTGAAGATTTTACAAGATGGCACATGTAAGTCACTTAACAAATTGCCTGATTTAATAGATAGATAGATATATAGATAGATAGACAGATATAGATAGATAGATATAGATATATTGATCACTTAAGAATGGGACCAAAAAGGAACTCTAATAGCATAATTATCTAACCCACTACTTTTGTATAAGGCCTCAGTTTAAAAGTTTTCTCCTAAAAAAAAAAAAAAAAGGGTGACAAGGGCCGGCTGAGTGGCTCAGTTGGTTAAGAGCTCACTCAAGAGTTTGAGCTCTGAGCAACAGCGGTTCGAGTCAGCCCGAGCTG